ATATGTATATATCCATAATGTGTTATCACCACAATTTCATTTCAAATTCTTCCATAGGACTATTTGTGGGTGAGGTATCGGTACTTAGTTGTGGTGGATTATTATTTTTGTACAACTGGATATACTATCCATAAAATGTACAAAGTTGTGTTTACCTCGACACAGAGACATTTTATAAAAAATATACCTTCGGTTGTGGTAATTGTTGGTGTAGTCGTTGGCTGGACTGTTGACGTGAGCGTAGTAATTGGTGCTTCAGTTGTGATTACTGTTGGTGTAGTTGTTGGTTGCACTGTTGACGTCAGTGTAGTAGTTGGTCCTTCAGTTGTGGTAATTGTTGGTGTAGTTGTTGGCTGCACTGTTGACGTCAGTGTAGTAGTTGGTCCTTCAGTTGTGGTAATTGTTGGTGTAGTTGTTGGCTGCACTGTTGACGTCAGCGTAATAGTTGGTTCTTCGGTTGTGGTAATTGTTGGTGTAGTTGTTGGCTGGACTGTTGACGTGAGCGTAGTAGTTGGTTCTTTAGATGTGATTATTGTTGGTGCAGTGGTTGGTTGCACTGTTGACGAGAGCGTAGTCGTTGGTCCTTCAGTCGTGGTCACTCTTGTTGTAGTTGTCGGCTGCACTGTTGACGTAAGCGTAGTAGTTGGTTTTTCAGTTGTGATAAATGTTGGTGTAGTTGTTGGCTGCACTGTTGACATGAGCGTAGTAGTTGGTTCTTCAGTTGGGGTAACCGTTAGTGTAGTTGTTGGCTGCACTGTTGACATCAGTGTAGTAGTTGGTCCTTCAGTTGTGGTAATTGTTGGTGTAGTGGTTGGTTGCACTGTTGACGTCAGCGTAGTAGTTGGTTCTTTGGTTGTGGTAATTGTTGGTGTAGTCGTTGGCTGGACTGTTGACGTGAGCGTAGTAGTTGGTGCTTCAGTTGTGATTACTGTTGGTGTAGTTGTTGGTTGCACTGTTGACGTCAGTGTAGTAGTTGGTCCTTCAGTTGTGGTAATTGTTGGTGTAGTTGTTGGCTGCACTGTTGACGTCAGTGTAGTAGTTGGTCCCTCGGTTGTGGTAATTGTTGGTGTAGTTGTTGGCTGGACTGTTGACGTGAGCGTAGTAGTTGGTTC